GGGCAAAACAGACCCGGAAGGAAAACAGAACACAAAACAAAAACTGTTGTCCAGACAAGGAGGGTTGTTTGGTTCTGTGTGCGCCAGACTGGTCTGAAGTCCGGGGTAGAGGCTAGGTGAGAGCTGGGGGTGGAAAACGCAAGGGTCCGCTAGGGTAGAGACTTGACATTTCCTGTGGTGAAGCCGGCTTTGGCTGCTAATAGAGATCTAATTGATGGGTGAAGTCCCATTTCCGCGAGCTCTCCTTTATTGCTCCATCCAGCCCGTTGCAAAATATAACCTTAATCTGATTTAGCAATTCCTCCAGGATTCGGTGCGAGCTTCCAGCTCAGGAAAAAAAAAATCGTTATTAAAAAAGTTAAAGTTACAGACTTGGGTTTGGTGCGTTGCCATTTTAAAAATCTTGCCTCAGGTCCTGACGTTTAGCACTTTTTCTTTTTGTAATCGCCTGGTGTTTTATGATTATTAATAACCACAGTGTTGGGTGATCCTCCTAGTGCGCATTTGTTGGGGATGCAAACTGGAGAGGTGACCCGAGGTTGCTGGGGTGCGTGGGATGCTGGCTGTTCCCGGAGTCCGGTTTTGAGCGCACAGCCCAAATAGTTTAGAGTTTCCTAATTCCCTCTTTACCTCGGGATTCCTGAAGAGGCCGCCTGGGGATGGCCGGTCTGAAAGCCTGGGCTGCCTGATGTCAGGGGCCAGTGTGATAGTGGGTTGGGCCAGGTGGCTTCCTCCTTCCATTTAAGCTTCCCGGTAAGGTTTAAGAGCACAAGGCTTAGGGTGAAGTTCAGTACCATGCAGATGCCTGCCTGGTCCATATAATAGTCCTGGCTTGGGTGCTGAAGGAAGCCTCTGGCCTGCTACTGTGGGACCCACAGGGTTCTGTAGGAGTTGGAAGTTGGCAATTGTTAGAAGTACAAACCAGATGTTAGATGGTAGAAGCTAAAGGCATGGCTTTCTTTCCCTTCCTCTTGGCTCCTCTCCCCTGTCCCTTACCTGCCCAACCTGACTTCCTCTGTATCCCTGGTGGTGTTTAGAGACTGTTTCACCACACAGTACCAGATCTAGGTTTTCTGTCTGTTTCCTTCTTTGTTTTCCTCTAATAGAGGGGAGTCCCTTAGGGAAGTACATTTGTTTTGCTTTTTTTTTTTTAAACAACAAAACAAGCTCTGACAAGTTTTTATCAAAGAAAAACTTTCTGGGTTTACTTTTCACCAGTCTGCTCTGGCATGCTTCTAATAATATCAGAATCACCTGGATCAGTGATAACCAGTGTGCAGACTCTGTAATTCTTTCCGAATGCTGTGCCCAATTCAGTACTATTGCCACTGTAGTGATGATGGACAGCAGTTTTGGCCAACATGGCATAGTATTCTATTTCCAATTTCCTTAAAGCTGGGTAGTTGGTGGGGATGACCAATTTGGCCTTACCTTGTCTGATTGTCCTCAGACTCTGCTTGTACTTTCCACTTTTCATAACAAGCTGGAGCCTAGAGTTGATCGACTCCAGAGACTTTGCAGTCTTCCTGCCTCAGGTGTGAATGGTTCCCAACCATGAACAAGATGGCTGGGGAGCGAGAAAGAGGGAAGTGCATTTGTAAGTAGATATTATATCACATTGTCATACAAAATTTTATATACACAATCGTGCTTTCCCGAACTTCTATGTCAACCAAATTGTGTAAGGAAAAAGATGGGACCAAGCCACCAATGCTGCCTTGTAATCTTGGTTGAATGCAGTCTTTCTTGGCCTTGACTTTTTCATCTTCAAAATAATGTTGATAAATATAATCCTGCTCTGACTACCTCAGAAAGCCAGAGAAAGCCAATGTAATGCTTATACATACAAAGAAATCTTCATCCTGGAAAGTCTAAAAATAGAAGCTCAAGTCACTAGTCAGTAGATGAGTCTGGAAAATTGTAGGAATCTTTTACACTCACAGAGAATTGGGTTTTGTGTTTGCATAAGTCACCTTGAATGATTCATTCTGCCTGAGGAGACCTCTAATTCAGTGTCAGTTTCCTGTCCTCAATTCCCCTAGACTTTTATTTTATGTTTTACAACCAGCATTTGCATCTGTTAGTCTTGACACAGTTCACTTTCTGCTTTGATCTCCAGTTTCTCTGGTCTCCAGTTTGACCAGCTAGTTCTTTAAGAAGTGAGATGAGAAGAAGCATGCTTGTTACCCTGGGATAATCACTTAATTTCCCAAATTCTGCTCTAAGTCTGGGACTGAGTGTGTGCTAGGATACAGTGCCTCATGCACCCTCTGCTGCAGGTTCTTGTGGCCTTTTCCAGGCCTGCTATACAGCAGTGGGAACTAGTGCTTAGGCACTCCCAGCCCCATCTCTCTCCTCTCCTCCATGGTACCCTTGATGGGTTTAATGAGGCGGAACACCGTGAAGGAGATGTGAACTGGTCCAAATGATTGATGAAGCCAGGGGCAAAGCCCAGGCCTTTCTAGATAAAGCCCCATACAGCCAGTGATAAAGGCGGGATAGTGGCAGGGCTGGGCTCCTTCAAAAGCTGTGGCCCAGAGGCATTGAGAGGAAACAGGAAGGGAAGGTGCTCTGTTGTTACCTAATCAGTTCCTGCACTAAGCCACCAGCCAAGGAGAGCAGGGAGGGCTGGGCTGCTGAGGAAGTGGGGAGGGCGAAAGCAAACCTCTATGCCACACACACACACACACACACACACACACACACACACACACACACACACACACACAGCTGCCTCTCTTCTTCCCTTTTGGCTGAGCAAGGCCTAGAACAGCCTTAGCTACCACAGATATCTGGACACTCAGCATGTACTGGGGACGCTTCCTTCCATGGGGTGTAGAGGGGAAAGTCATAAGTAACATTGTTTTGTCTGGCTTTCCTCAGCATTAGAACAACTACTGGTTCCCTCCCCATTAGAAACCCAGTCATTGAAAGTGAGAGAAAGAGGAGGGGAAATCTGGGGAAATTCCAAACCCACTGGAAGATTTGGGGTGGGGGGCAAGGTGGATTTCTTTAGTTCTCTGTTAGAAGCAACTACTATAAAACAAGGTTCATGGCTTGGGGTAACAATAACAATATTACTTCCTAAAGGACAGTGTACTCTGGTTCTCACAACAAATAAAGAAAGAACACAACAGTTATTAGGCCAGAAGCAATTATGGAATTAGAGTGCACCATGGCTGGAGAAACACCAAGAATATAATCACTGTTTTAGGAGGTGGGGGTGGAGCTCAGTGGTGTGTTTAGCCTGTATGAGGCCTTAGGTTCACCTTAGAGCCTATTACCCCCAAACAAACTAAAGAGACTTCTTTTGCAGGTGCCACACTTCCCGTTAAGCCAGTTAGGCCCAGTGGGAGTTGAAAGCTAGTTGCCTTATCTTCCTACTGGTCCCTGGGGGTGAGGGCAAGTTTGGAGACTGAAAAGAGTATCAGTTCATAAGCACTTGTAGATATGGACAAAATAAGGAACATTTTCACCAAGGTAATGCAATGAAAAAAAAATTGGGTTTCAAGTATTCCAGGCTGATTTAGAACTAACTATGTAGCTGAGGATGACCTTGAACTTCCGATCTTCTTGCCTCTATTTCCTGAGTGCTAGGATTACAGGTGTGTACCACCAGGTCTGGTTTATTTCATGCTGAGAGTCAAATCCAGGGCATTGTACATACTAGGCAATCACCATCGAGCCATATCCCCAATCCTTGTTTGTGTTTTTCAGGGTTGGTTATGTAGCCCAGGCTGACCTCCAGCTTCTTATCCTCCTGTTTCATCCTCCTGAGTACCAGGCTATCAAGTATCTGCCACCATTTCCAGAAAACTTGGGGTTTTGATAGTAGCATAATTTTGATAGCTGTTCATGTACAGTTTCCATTTGTGAGTTATAGTCACTGTCTAAACCTTGTCTTTAACTTCTCTTTCATGGCCATATCTATAGTTTAGTTTCTGTGTTCTGATGGTGGTTGATGCTTGTGAAAATGTGAACATCCCACAGATAAGATGGTCAGGAAAGATGACTACTTCTGCTGTTACTTTAAATTGTATTTATTTATTTATTATTATTTATTTTATTTAATTGTGGGTGTGGGTGTGCCATAAGGAAAGTATGGAAGTCAGAGGATAGCATGCAGGAATATCTTCCCTCTTTCTACTGCGTGGGTCCCAGGGATCAAACTCAGGTCATCAGGCGTGGCTGCAAGTACCTTTACCTTCTGAGCCGCCTTGCCCTCCCCCTGTTATTTACCTATTTTTTCAAAGATTTATCTGGTCATTAGGCTTTTATCACATCAGATAACATTTGCATCTCTATTTTCATTATTATGCCAATCAACTGCAGATGACTTCCACATTTTACTTTTTATTATATTCACTTTTTTATTGTGTGTGTATGTATGTATGTATGTGGGTGGATAAGGATACACCATGGTGCTTGTGTGGAGGTTGGAGGACAACTTGTAGAAGATGGTTTTCGTCTTCTATCATGTGGGTCCTGGGGATTGAACTCATGTCTTCAGGCTTGACAACAAGCACCTTTACTTGCTTAACCATCTTGCCAGCCCCATTTCTACATTTTTTGTTTGTTTTAGTTTGTTTGAAGACAGGATCTCACTATATATTCCAGGTTGGTCCTGAACTCTATCCTCCTGCCTCAGTCTCCTTATTGCTGTGATTACAAACATGTGTAGCTAAACCTGGCTCACTTCCATTCCTATTGTCTCTGTGCTTTCAGTTTAGAAGGCAAGCTACTAAAGGGCAGCATTCTGGGTATTGAATGCCTGTGTATTGCATTCCATGCAAGCAGGACTTAAACAAATCAATCCTGAGTTTATCACTCAAGAGAGAAAGATAGGACTTTACTGCCTAGCCTTCTGCCCCTCGTACTGTATTCAATAAAGTTTTACACACACCACACACACACACACACACACACACACACCCCACATGGGGTGGAGGGTGGAGGGAGAGGGAGAAGGAGTGACTGTTAACTATTGAGGACATTTTAATGATGAAAAGCATTTTTACATTAACATTTTCAGAAGAGGGTGTGAAAAGAGTTTAAGAGCAGGAGGTTGCGGGGAGTGCCATGAAACACTGCCATTCAGACATACATGGCTGTTGCAAACGTGACCACAGCAATATAGACCTGCACAAAACTGGGCTTTCAGCGTTCCATCCTGGATAGAAGAGGGGCCCACATGGTTAATGGTTGTTGGAGGAGGGGGCTCACAGAGGGATTCATTATGAGGACGAAGGGGTTCAGAAGGAAAGGAATGGGGCTAACAGAGGATAATGGGGGTGAAGAGAATCTCAATGCATTATATATATATATATATGTATGAGACTATAAAAAGGAAACATTTTAAAAGTGTTTCAATTCCAAAGCAATAGTATTTTACAAAGCTTTTGAATATATTATTTCTATGATTCTTTCAAAAGAGTATTTAAGGATCACCCTTAAAAATAATACATTCATATCTTTCACCTCCTCAGTATACTGTAGCATAGTGAATCCTTTTCTTTCTTGAGCTTCTGAACAGTAATGTGGTCATGGAAATCTTTGGGGGAAGAAAATGTGACCAGATCTGCAAAACATAATCTTGAACATGCATAAAGGTTTGTTTGGGAATAAGAAAAACCATAGCCTATAAAAAATGTAATCTCAGAATTATTTGCATAAAACATTTGTGGCACATCATTTGTCAAACTGGGCTGCAGAACTGAAATACCTATCTATGTAATCTGGGTAAACTTAACATGTTTCCCCATAAAAGTGTTTTTATAATGATGAGATAGTGTAAAGAATATATCTCTAACTGTGCATGTTTTTAAGATGACGGAAAGATTTCACGCTCCAACTGTCTAATTTGTTCAATTACATTGATTTTTTAAATTAAATAGCTGCTTACCTTTCCCTTTCTGTCTGTGAATAAAATATAAATGTGAGGTTTGGGGAATAAAAAGCCTGTGAGTGTCTGGGTCTCTCCTACAAAACAGACTATCTAGTATTGTTATTTTAAGAATATTGAGTTTCCTCAAATTTGGCTGAAGTTTCTGGTTTCTCCTGAAGGCCTCAGGAGCTTTGAAGAGAAAGAAACTTCTACAGTTTTAATGGGAAGCCCATAGGCAATATTCTTTCAGAAAATACTTGGGGCACAGCATAGTTATCTTTTTATGCAATTATTTTCCAATACAAGTTGGAAATAGATATATCTATAAGGTGGTCTGCAATTAGATGCTATATAGGAAAAGTTCTTATTGCTTTTTTATATTTCCAACTTCTTATTTAACTGAATCTCAAGAAAAATTATGAAGTAGGTATCTGCAGATGGGTGAAATTGGCACTTTTATACCTTAAACCTGAAGATTGAAACTTTGAATTTTAAAATAGGGAGAGCATATAGCAATATGTCCCATAATAACTTCGATCATTTGCACTTGGAAGGTGCTTTCTTGTAATCATAATAAAGATGCTAACTATGAGAAAATTTTCCTGGGAATGAGTTTTTTTTTAAACCTCTACTATACATTAT